GAAATTATCATTAGTAAAAATTGAAGATCCGATTAGAGCTTGCTTTGAAAGTTTTGGAAATCTGGGTAATTTCGTGAATTTCCCGTGATATAGTTATTTGCATCTGTTCACACCTTTTTGAAAACAGCTATAAAAGCGATGAACTAAGATACCAATAGATGACTAATGATGTGGTTAATAAAGTTGAATTAATATTATCGATCCATGTTTAACCTAGAAAATAATTCATTTACTTGAAAACGAATACCCTGATTATCATATTAAACGCAAAATGTATATAATTTAATAAATAAACTAAAAGATCCTTAAATTGAAGCTGCTGGCATTTTAATACTTTAAAATCTTTCATGTTAACATCAGAGAAAATAAAGCAAAGCCTCACTATTTATTACTAAGCCTCAGAAAAACATAAATTTGTGATATAAGTCACAAGATCAGAGATCTTTTGACGCGCCATAAATCAGAATCATAAATTTTAAATTAAAACGAATATTCCAACTTTCTTTTAAATAAATAGAAAGAATCGACAATTTGTTTTGTAAACAGCTAAATAAAACACGAATGTAAAATAATGCTAATAAATATGGATAGCAAAATGATAGATTCGTGGCGAATGCTTTTATGATTGAGTAGATGCGATAAACAAACAAGCCATTGTATATATGTGAGTGCGAGAGGAAGATGTATCTTCAGTCTGCTTTATCAATTAACGCTTATTGTTTAAAGTCCACAATGTAAAAACGGTTTTAAATTCTAAAGTTATATAAATGTCTTCTTAATTACATCAGAGTGGTTTTAGGCAAATAATTTGTGTTGTTTAACGTTTATGTTTGTCTCATTATTTCAAAAAAATTTATCCTACCAAAAACTTTTTTAATAAAAATAAAAAACAATAATAATAGTAGTAATAATAACAAATCATCGATCATACAAAAAAAAAGCAACTACGAAGACTTTATTTTTGTACTACAGCAAAGAAAAAAATAAGAACATCAATAATAATGAGTTATGCGGGAACGAAAAGAGGTGTTTGCCTTTGTTTATTAATCATTCCAAATTTAGTTCTTGCATTCCTTTGCCCGGTCCTTGGTAAGTCTTTAAAAAATTTGCCAATGTTCTTTTATATTTTGAATACTGAAAGTCTATTTCTTTTATAACACTAAACTATCTAGAAATATCAAAGCTTAAATTTTTTAATCTGTCTGGGGGAGAATTAACTTACAATGCATGGATCGAATACGCGTAAATAAATACTGTCAAGTTTTTCTTCTCGTTTGTAAAAAAGAAAATGTTAAATTATTAAATCAAATGTTATTTTGTAGATATCTGGCACTTACAGTGTCAATGATTAGTACGCACCCTTTATTAAATGCTAAATTTCAATTATAGCATAAAAACAATGTTTTATAAGTTTTCTAATACTCAATTTTATAAAATTTGGTTTAGACGTATTTTTCCTACTTTGTTGTATCTTAGATTATGATGACCTAATCTGGTATTTCAGGTATGTATGTTGCACTTTTCGATTTCAACTTTATTGTGATTACATTTATCAATAACTTGAAATTTATTAAATCGAAATTATAAGGATTGTGACAATTTTTTGGCTAATTTTTCCATGTAAGAGAGATGTTTTTTTTTTTTAATACTGTGCTGCTTATAATGTTACTAACGGTATCTATGTTTCTCTATAAAAGTTATTTACACATTTTCTACCATCAATGAAATGGGTGACATTCCATTTAATTGTCCATCAGATTACGCATATACATCTAGCGCGATATTAACAGCATGTAAAATTAGAGAAGCAAATTTGATCTGTATGTGGTTATACTTTGCAACATTAGTAATCATAATACCCCTTTTTTGGTCGTTTGTTAATATTTTCCAATCAAGTACAAGTTCTGATTCGGAACGAGGCAGTGGCAGCTTTTTTAGTTTTTTTAGCGGACTGAGAGTAGATATCCCAATAAGACGACCACCTAAGTCGGATCAAGATGATTCAAAGAGTGAACATAGAGATTCGGTACTTATCTTTGCAGCTGAGAGTCCGATCGCCGAAGATTTTAATGACGAACATTAATGATGTTAAAGAATGTTTTAAAGTATTCATTTACGTATAGCATCATTTTTATTCTTGAATAAAATATTGAAAATGTTTTATATTGATTACTCTTATTATATAATAAATCACTTTAAAGTAATACATTTTTTACGATTTTCTTGCTTTTGAATGATTCATTCCTTTCTTATGTATCTAACAGGCTTTCTTTATCAATCACTTTAGTGTCCCTTCTACAACGGTATATCAAGACCATGATGATATTGCCACGTCATCTCTTGCCCCGCCCGCTTATGCGTGAAAACGTTGTGGGCAAGTTGTTTGTTGTTAAAAAAGATATTCAAAATCATTTGTTCGATCTTTTTATTATTGGAATGTTCATTGAAAATTTAATAAACATTCGATATATTCATTGTTTATATAGTTAGCAATTAAGTAAATCTGACTTATATTTGTACATAACATTTTATTATTAAATATAAAAAGTTGTATAAATATTTAATTATTTCATTCTACATGTATTTTTTTTTAAGATTATATATATTAACAAGGAAAATTATTCCATAGTTTTATTAAAATTATAAATTATATTTTTTAAAGAAAATTACTACTGGTATTCGATATGACTAAATAAAAATGGTCAGAGCCCTGACACCTTGTGTAGTCTAAAATTCGGGCTATTATATTTAACCCCTGTCTTGGTATTGAAATGTACCCTAACTCTAAAATTTTATAACTGGTAGTGACTACCAGTAGTAGTACTTTATTTGGAAATTATTTTTTATATCCCTAATTTGAATATTCATACCCCCTGGCAGATTAAAATTTTTTTAAGCTTTAAGCAAAGATATCTCAGCAACCATTAAGCCAATTCTATTTTAATTCTATGGATTCATAGAATTCAAATAAAGAAAAGTTCATCGAGTTTGACTTTGTGGTTGCAGAGATATCTTCAAAGTTTAAAAAAAAATTCCACCAAAATTTCCTCTAAATTATAAAAGAAGGTAGCAACCACTAGGTCGCATTCAATGAATTTTTTTTTATGGAGTCATAGAACTCGAATAAAAAAGTTCATTGAACTTGACTTGGTAGTTGCTGAGATATCTTCGCTCAAAGATTTAAAAAAATTCAAAACGTCTATCAAAACAAGCTGCCCAAAATTTTTTCTAAACTTTGAATAAAGTTATCTCAACAACCGCCAGGCCAAATTCGAAAACTTTTTTTATTTGAATTCTAGATATCTTTATTCAAAGTTTAGAAAAATTTTGGCCAGCTTTTTGTTTTGATAGACGTTTTGAATTTTTTTTAAAAACTTTGAGCAAAGATATCTCAACAACTACCAAGTCAAAGTCAATGAGCTTTTTTCATTGGAATTCTGTGACTTCATAGAATTCTAATAAAAAAAAAAAATTCATTGAATTTAACCTAGTGGTTGCTGAAATATCTTCGTTTAAAGTTTAGAACAATTTTGGTACTTCGTTTTTTTGAATTTTTTTTTTTTGAGTAAAGATATCTCTGCAACCACAAAATCAAATTCGTTGAACTTTTTTTTATTTAAATTCCATGAATCCATAAAATTAAAATAAAAAAAAGTTTATCGAATTTGGCTTAGTAGTTGCTGAGATATCTTTACTCAAAACATTTTAATTTGCAGGGGTATAACTATTAAAATTGGGGTATAAAAAAAATGATCACCTTTTTATTTAACCAAATAATTAATAGATATATTTAATCCAGTCAAATTATGTTCGAATATTCGAATCTTCGTTTATACTATTTATTGAACCAGATCTCTATTAATATAGCAGAAATTATGAGAATCACTATTTTATAATAAAATCAAACCAAACGGTTTAACATCCCTATACTTTTAAGTAAAAATTAGAATATAAAATGACAGAATTGGCAAAACTTATTTTATTTCAGACTTTTAACAATTTCTGTTTCCGTTTCCTACCAATCTTTATCTTTCAGAAGGATCTTTACGACTACGAGGCTGATTGATCTGATTTAGGTGAGTACGTGCGAAATTTATTTTTAGAGCGGGCTATGGTTTATTTTGATTTTACAATGCTTCTTTGTTTATGGTGACAAACATAGCCAGTAACTTTTTCAAGATCATGAATCTACATTATTTTTAATTTCTTTATAAATTTATTTTCTTTTGCAATATAATCATCAATCTTCAAATATATATATATAATATATGGACGTATCTAATTGTAACATGTTACACGCTTATTCGTAACAACTTACTTAGTACAGCCAATAAAAATTCGGGTAACCCTAACTACTATTGGCTAATTACTGTAACATGTTGTTACAAATACATTTATTCAATTCATATAATATAATAAAATAGAATAATTAATTGGGCTTTGAACTATAAAAAGTCCAGAACAATTCATTAAGACGCAAAATATCAAATTGATATCAGAGAAAATTTAATCTTTCGTGATGGGTTTTACTGGCAGACCTTATTTTTATTTCCTTATCTTATTACTGATCCCATGTATTTTAACATTTGTTTGTCCCGTACTTGGTAAATAGAGAACCTTTTTTTTTTATTTTTTATTATTATTATTTTTTTTTTGTTTTTAATACTGTATCAATTTAATAACTATATTCATTTAGAATTTCAAAAAATTATTATTTTTGAACGAACACATGGAAAACTTAAAATAAATAAAATAGTCGAATACACGTAAGATCGACTTGATTGTATTGCCTGACGAGTCTTTCAAAAGTAAATTTTAATATGTAATTAAATAGGTATCTGACAATCACGATCATAATCGCTGGTATGCATATACATTTTTTGATGACTATATAGTACTATCAAAGAGTATTATCAACAAATTGAAAATATCATTTTCAGTCATAAATGTTTTGGCTTGTATTTGTTGTCGTGCCTTCAAATACGGTGCATTAGATCTTAAAAATGTGTAAGTTGTCCTTCAAAATAAAAAAATTTTTTTTATTGTTTATTCGTTATTCGATAATCTCAACCTTCAAATAATAAATAGGTTCGCCACAATTAATTGGTTGATTCTTCCTGGTATGTTTCTCCATCTTCAACTTTTCATTACATCATAATAACAATTTTCTAAAAAAAAATCTTTTTTAATTCTTTCACTGAAAGTCGTCTACACTTATTTCACTGCAAATGAAATGGGTGATATCCCATTTAGTTGTCCATCCAATTACTCATATAACTCAACAATAATCAAAGACGCTTGTCAAATTCGTTTGACAAATTTAATTTGTATGTGGTTGTATTTTCTTAGTTTAATACTTCTTAGATTACTCGCTTGTTATATTAATTCTGGAAGTAAAAATCAAAAGCCGACTGTTACTTTGGGTTTTAACGATACGACGTCTGTTGGCAGTAATTTGGAAAAAGCTGAAATGAAATAAGTTAAATGAAATATTAGCGAATTACATTTATCATTATGTTACACGTCTAATTGTATATTACATTTTATTATATATATATTTATTGTGAATTTTCATACCAACAAGTAGCGATGATCATTAAAGGAAATACCAACTTTAACGTTACTGCATAATTTGTAAGATTTTATAATTTGTTTCTAATAACCATGGCCGCGAAAAATTAACCAGATTTGCAGGGTTGGCATTAATAGAATTCGGACAATGGCAATCGGTCCGATGTCCAGTGTCCGAATTATCCAGTCAAAAGCAATGGATTTTAGATTGGACTTAGTGTTACAAATCGAAAGTTAAAAAAAATCGATTAGTTGATTAGTTGACAACTAATCGACTGAACTTTTTAGACACCAACTAATCGATTAGTTGCAACTAATCGACTAAAGAATTAATCGATTGTTGCAAATGAATCGATTGAAAAATTATTTATTTAGTTGCAACTAATCGATTAATCGATTACCCAACTAATCGATTGAAAAAATTTTGTCGATTTGTAACACTAGATTTTGGACATAGAATAACTTCTCGTGATTGGTTGATCGCGTAAGGTTGAGGTGTTCTCAAGCATTCACCCAACAGATCGGAGGCAACAATTTAATTGGCCAGAAATTGAGCTAAACAATTACAGATTATTTGGATTAAAACAAGAAATTTCTACTAATATTTTTTTTGTAGCTACAAATATTTTCTTTTATTTTTTTTAGGCCTAATCCATATTTATTGAACTTTATTTCTTCTTATTGAGTTTTATATTTATTGGACTATATTATTTAATTTTTATATTTTATTAAACTTTATTAATTTATTTTTATTATATTTTATTGAGTTATTTATATTTTATAGATTAGTTATTTCTCTTTCTTGCAAATAATATAAAGTAATAGCTGTATTTATGAATAGTATGTTGGTATATAGTAGCTTTATATTATTAGAATTTAAAAGCTATATATAACCAAGAATGGTCTGATTATTAGTATTCTTTTCTCTGGATTTATCTAATGATATTTTTAAGTCTAAGTAGCTAATAATCTTTGTACAAAGCAAATAAATTTTATTATACCTGGCTTACATAGAAAGGACAATAAGTAATAATCCCAATAATTGACCTATTCAACCCTTATAGTGTCTAGAAGATTATTGAATTTAAATTCTATTAAACACTTGTTTATTATTATTTAAAATTATATATTTATTAGATTTTTATTGATCTTTAATGACAACTAGATCTAGTGATAAAATTTAAAATAATAGTACTACTATTTTCTTCATGAACAAAAACTAATAAATTTTATTAGAAAAAAATAACTTCTACATTTCTTTAAAATCTTTCATATTTACTACTTTCCTTACTATTATTATCATTATTCAAAACTAATATCGTCCAATTTACCCAATCCTCATCATCAAAATCAATACCTTATCATTATCTTCTTTAACAACTCTCTTATTGCTTTTTTTGATCTTATCATCATTATCCAAAATCAATATTGGCAAATCCATCTAATCTTCATCATCAAAATTCAAATCCAATATATCATTATTATTTCCTTTAACAACTTTTCCTTTTCTCT